GCCGCCGCCGCGGGGCTGCGTGGTGCTGCACTGCCCGGCGCTGCGCGGTCCCGGCGCCCCGCGGCCCCGCCACCTCCGCTCCGTGCTGCTGGCCGAGCACCTGGCGCAGCTGCTGCGCGCACAGGGGTGAGTGCCCCCGGCCCGTCCTGCCCCGCCGCGCCCGCCGCGCCCGCCGCGCCCAGCGCCTGCCTCGCCCTCTCTCGCAGGGCCCGTGTCCGCCTGGTGCCCGCGCTCGGCACGGAGAGCTGCTGGGACGTGCTGCGGCAGCTCCGCGTCTGCTGGCCCTCCCGCCCCGCCGGCTCGTCCCTCGCTGATGCCGTCGCGGCCCTGAAGGCAGCGCTGGGCCGGTGCCCCTGTGCCGCAGCCTGCGAGCAGGGGCCGGGCACAGCCCAGGGTGCCATCGGTAAGGTGCACCTGAAGAGCTTCGTGGAGCAGCAGGGCTTGCTGGGCTACGACCCCAATCTAGATGTGCTTCTCGGTGAGCCCCACGTGTACAGCAGCTCCGGTGTGCCGGTGGAATGGGTGCAAATAGGGCTGTTTCCTTTCAGCTGTTCTTTAACAAAAATAAGGTGGGGTGGTGGACACAAATGGCTTGTTCCTCTTGCTCCCCTTCAGTCTGGTTTGAGCCTGGGGCAGACTTGATGGTGGAGAACCTCATGTCCTATTGTGTGTCCCTCCTTCTTTCAGTGACAGAGAGGACACTGCAGTGCTTGGCTGAGCTGCAGGAAGCTGTTCTGCAGTGCCCAGTGAGTGACCCCACAGCACTGCCCACCTCTCTCTTCCCAAGTGTCCTTTCCTTTGCCAGGCAATAGCATTGAGCTCCCTGTTGTGCTCTGCTGCAGGCCAAAGGCCAGAGCAGTTGCTGCAGCATCGTGCACGTGGTGAACTGTGAGGAGGAATTCCAGCAGCAGCAGCTGGATGTGCTCTGGAGGATTTTGGATCCGGGAGCCCACACAGCTTTGCAGGTGAGCAAGAGCAACCTCTGACCCTTCTCAGTGTGGCCCCCAGCATCCATCCTTGGCTCATGCCTAGGTTTAGAGCAGGGCTGGATTTCACTCAGTTCCCAGCCCCAGCCTCTCTGTCTTTCAGAAACACCTTGTCTGTGGGCCAGTGAAGGTGACCAACCCCTCATCACCCATTGGGGCAGACCAGTACTTCCAGTAAGTGGCTGTGCAAGGCACCTGCTGCTTTCTCTGCTGCTGAGGCTCCCTTGGGCCAGCTCAGCCCATAGCCCTGGCTCTGTCTGTGTTCCTGCCAGGCTCCGAAAGCGCCAGATGCACGAAGCCTCCGTGATAAAGTATGGGGAGCTTGCACAAGGTGAGAGCTGGGGCTCCATCCCATCTTCATTGCTCCCATGACTCCACAGCCAGGGGTGCTCCTTCTCCCCTCCAGGATGGAGGCAGGTGTTGCCCTTGCTTTGGGAAGACACCTCAACATCCAGGGCACTGGCACAGAGCAGCTCCTTCTTGTGGGAGCTGGGGCTGGTGGTGTGCTGGTCCTCAGCTACTGCCTGCTCCTGGCAGGGGTGTCCTGGGTATCAGTACATGGGAATGGAGCAAGCTGTGCCTGATGGCACCTCTCTTCTGCGCAGATGAGGCCTGGACAGAGGTGATTGACACCCTGACAGTGGCTGCCATCAAGTTTGAGATGCTGAGCACTGCTCACCGGAGTCAGGTAGGACAGCAGCTTGCATGGAGCCAGGGCTGGCAGGTTGTGGGAAGAGTGGAGTGGATCTGTGCTGAGCAGCCTGGACTGTGAGTTCTCCCTGCCCTCAGATCACCCTGGACCTGGAGAACAGCAGCATCTCCACGAAGGGAACGAAGAGTGGTGCCTTTGTGATGTACAACTGTGCCCGACTGGCCACGCTCTTCAGCACCTTCCAGCAGGCTGTGGAGCGGGGTGAGCACCAGCCCCACCCTCCTCTGACAGCCACTTCTGGAGCCACAGGGGCTTCTTTGGGCACAACAGTCTCCCTGCTTTCCAGGCACATACCCACCTCTGCCACCAGTGTCTGAGCTGAACTTCTCCTGCCTCCGAGAAGAGGTGAGTGCTGAGACAAGGAATGGGGGGGGATCTGTGCACCCTCGAACGAAGAGTGGTGCCTTTGTGATGTACAACTGTGCCCGACTGGCCACGCTCTTCAGCACCTTCCAGCAGGCTGTGGAGCGGGGTGAGCACCAGCCCCACCCTCCTCTGACAGCCACTTCTGGAGCCACAGGGGCTTCTTTGGGCACAACAGTCTCCCTGCTTTCCAGGCACATACCCACCTCTGCCACCAGTGTCTGAGCTGAACTTCTCCTGCCTCCGAGAAGAGGTGAGTGCTGAGATGAGAAATGGGGGGATCTGTGCATCCTCAGCTCTGGATTCTACTGGCCTGGGGGGATCTGACACTTGGACATGTAATCCCTTCACAGGGTGAATGGCTCCTGCTCTTCAACTATCTCCTGCCCTTCCCTGAAGTCCTGCAGCAGGCAGCACAGCTGCCCCCACCCTCCAAGGGGATCCGGATCACTGCCAACACAGAGGCAGTAAGTGCCAGGTGCTATGGCATCCATGGATGCTGCTCCAGCAGTGCCAGCCCAGGGCGAAGCTCCATGCCAGCAGAAGCTGCCCATCAGTGAGCAACACAGGGACATGCTGAGAGAATGGATGGCAATGCCCCTGGGGCAGTTCCTGCTGTGCTGGGGGTGGGTGAGGGCCCAAGACCGGCCAGAATTCACTGTGCCATGAGAATGTCTCTGCCTTGTAGGTGTGCAAGTTCCTGATCCAGCTCAGCATGGATTTCAGCTCCTACTACAACCGGGTGCACATCCTTGGGGTGAGTTAGGTGTCCCAGCCTGCAGCCTTGTGGCCCTGCAGTCCTTCTGGGGCTGCACTGCTCTTTGGGGGCAGCCACGTGAGGCATGGTGCCAGGAGTGTGATGGGGCCCTGTCCCAAGCTGCCTTTCTCCCTGCAGGAGCCATTCCCTCATCTCTTTGACCAGATGTTTGCTCGCCTCCAGCTGCTGGGAGCAGTGAGGGATGTGTTCCACAGCGCCCTGGCAACCCTGCACCTCCCTCCTCTGAGCCAGATCTGAGCCACCCCTGAAGAGCTGCACCATGGTGTGACAGTCACCTGCACACCACACATTGTGGGGGGAGAACAGGGCACAGTCTCCAGGCAGGGCAAGGCACAGTTCAGCCCCGTGGAGGTGCTTCCCTTCCCATGGCCCATGGTGTCTGGGGGTTGGTCTGTGCTCTCTGCAGCTGTGTCCAGTGTGGGACATGGATGCCCCTCCACATCCACACCAGTAGAAGGGAAAAGGGCTCCCCTGGCACCCCAGAAGCTGGGCTGGGAGTACTGGGGAGGTGGCAGCAGGGACCAATCACCACAAAGACAGACGAATGCCAATTTCACTTCCCTCAAAACTTTATTGAAAGGTGCTCCGTGCTGGCAGGGAGCTCCTGAGGCTCCTGGCTCCTGTTGGGCTCTGAGCCAAGCCCCAGTATTGGGGTCCAATACATTTGTTGCTGGACAACCCCTCTATGTGTCTGACCTCAGGGTTGTTTGTCCTTCCTTCCTCTCTTTGGTCTGACTTTCCTGGGTCCTGCTGCTGTGCAGGAAAAACCCACTTGGCCTGAGGGGGGTGCTGTTTGTGGGCAGCCCTGCCACCCCCCATGCCACAAGGGTGCTGCTGTGGAGGATCAGTGTCCCTGTGCATTTCAGCACCATCCTCAGCTTTGCAGGGTCGGGACTGTCACACGGGGCTCTGTCTGTGGACACACAAGGCTGCAGCCCATCATGTGTCACACCAGTCCCTGACCCTGGTCCCTGACCCTTCCTGGCCTCCTGCTGCTCTCAAGCTCCCAGGGCTGGGCCATGTCCTCGGTGCCCTCCTAAGCAAGGTTCCTCTCTGAGACCAAGACTGGAAAGCTGCCATGGGTCCTTCACACCTTGCAGAGGAAGAGCTGCTCTTGGGCAGCAGGGACTAACAGCCCCACTTCCTCACTGCATAGGCTTGTCCGGGAGGGATCACATCTGCCTTCTTCCCAGAGACCACTGGCCTCGAGCACCACAACTGTGGCATGTGCCTAAAGGAGCCAAGTATGCTTGTCCCCTCAGGACAAGACACATGACTGCAGGCTGGAGGCAGGGACCACAGTGATGGGCAAAGCCCAAGTGCAGGGTGCCCTATGCACGCAGGGACCGGGATGTGTCACACACTGCCCCTTTACTGAGGAGCCTCTTGTGGAGGGGGTTTGGAGGAGGCTGTGCCACACAGCATCTCCAGGCCCTGCCCACAGAGCACGCAGTAGTACCGCAGCTCGCCCCCAGCCTCCACCACCTCCCAGCAGTCCAGCTCGGCTAGGTCAGGCACGTGGAAGAAGGTGGTGCTGAGGGGCAGCAGCTCGCCCTGGCACCGCCTCCACAGCGTCAGGCGCTGGTCCACTGAGGCAGAGAGCAGCAGGTCTGGCCGCAGCACCCGGATCCCCGTCACGTGGGCAGCATGGGCACAGGGCCTGGACACCCGCTCCAGCACCTGCAGGCAGGTCCCTGCCGTGGCCTCACCCCTGGCCAGGGCTACCTCCAGCAGGCAGACATGGATGGAGCCGTCATCGCTGCCACTGGCCACCAGGTGCCGTCCCTCGGGTGTCTCGCGGATGTGCAGGCTGTTCACGCCGCAGCTGTGGGCCATGACGGTGACCAGGGGGGCGTCCAGGGCTGGGTAAACAGGCTGGTCAGGAGAGCAATGCTCGCCTTGGTCAGAGGGAGCAGAAGAGCTGCTGGGCAGCAGCACTCACCCAGGGGCTGCATCTCTCCCTCTGCCTGGTGCAGGGCATCTGCCGCATCCATGACGGGGCCGGTGATGTCCCAGAAGGCAATGCTGCCATCAGTGGCTGCACTGCACAGGAGGTGCCTCCTAGAATGGGGGGTGGCAGGGAGTTTCTGGCTGCAGCCCTGGGGTCCCCACTGAGATCCATGGAAGTGGCAGAACAGCCCCCCGGGCTTCTCCCTTCCCTCTGCCTGCTGAGCTGCCATCCCTGCAAGGACAGAGGTTTCTCCCCAGAGCCCATCAACTGCAGCCCAGCGTTTGGGGCTCACCTCTCCCCTCCTGCCCACGTGTGCAGGAATGCTTCCACCTTCAGCACACAGCGCTGGTGGTGAAATGACTCTGCCACCAGCACCAGCTTCCGAGCAGCCTCCAGCAGCCCAAAGATCCTGTAATGGAGCAGAGGGCAGCTGGCTGTGGGAGAGTAGAAGCTTCTGGCTCCACTGCCCCATTTCCCACCATGTGGTGTCTTATGGCCAGCTCAGAGCAGGCCACATCCCATGGCAGCAGCCCCTGTTCTGAGCCTGCTCTGCTGTCATCAGCTGTGGGAGAGTAGGAGCTTCTGGCTCCACTGCCCCATTTCCCACCATGCGGTGTCTTATGGCCAGCTCAGAGCAGACCACATCCCATGGCAGCAGCCTCCTGTTCTGAGCCTGCTCTGCTGTCATCGCCAGCTCCATTCTCCCTGTCAGGCCCCATGATGGCTCCTCACCGGACTGATCCATCACTGCAGGCAGCAGCCAGGAATTTCCAGGGTGTTGGCAGCTGCTTGGTGCTCGTCCCAGGCACAACTGACAGGGACATGTACCTGCAGCAAAGACACAACGTTCACCAACACGTCCGTGGCCCCATGGAGGTGGGTGGCCCAGGAGAGCAGCCCTGAGCCCTTCCCTAACACCAAAAGCCTCTTGAGGCCCACAGGGCACTGTACACCACACATGGAGCCACGCTGGCCTCAGCTGAACCTGCAGCTGCACAGAGCAGGTATTCCAGTGGAGGCCCCTGCAGTTCCCACCAGCCTCCCACACTGTGATCACTACTAATCCTGCCTTGGGCAGTCCCCAGTCATCACCTTGTCTCTGGGTCCATCTTGACAAGCTTGTGCCTGTTCTTCTTCTTCTCCCAGTGCTTGTCCAGCCGGTGGGAGGCCACATGGATGACCTGGCAGGCCACAGCACTCTGAGCCGCTGTGTCCCCAGTGCACAGCAGCCGGTAGCACTCAATCTGTGCGCGGCCGCCCGCAGAGAAGAGCAGGGCAGACAAGCCCTCGTCACCAAAGCCCTCATCTCCAGGTCCCATGGCGAATGCCAGCGTCCTCACACTGGAAATGTGGTCACTGAGGCGGGCAAGGGGCACAGCTGCCCGAGAGCTCTCACTGAGCACCAGGACACAGGTCGTGGTGTCCTCACTGCCGGTGACAAACACATTCACAGTGGCACAGCCGGGCACCTCCAGGGCCCCCAGGCGCCGCACGCAGGTGATCTCCCGCCCGTGCAGGGATGCCAGCAGCACTTGCTGCTCGCAGGGCTCGGCCTCACGGTGGTACAGCATCACATCCCCAGACTTGATGAAGGCAAACACCTCGGCCAAAGGGCTGCTGCAGTAGCTCCAGGAGCGGTGCCCGCCCCCGCAGGGGATGCAGTGGATATTCTCGCCGGTCCTGCTGCTCCACACCACAAAGTTGTCAGCGTGAAAGCCCAGCACAAGCAGGTCCCCATCCAAGGTGAAGCGCAGCTCCTCAATCCATTGCAGCCCTTTGCAGGGCCTGTGCTTCTGCAGGACCTCCAGCTGCTGGCCCTGCAGGCGGAGCTGGCGGTAGACACCATCCCGGCCCGTGCTGTAAATGGAGCCCCTGTGGATGGTCACCGAGGTAACTCCTGTCTTCCCGTGGAGCCCAAAGAGCACTGACAGTGGGGACTCAAGAGGAAGAGCCTCTTTGTGCAACAAGCAAGAGAGCTCCAGCTCATTGCTGGAGTCCTCAACAACGGGGTCAGTGCTACCATTGACAATGCTGGTGCCTTCTGCAGCCCACCCCGAGGAGCTGCTGCAAGGAAAGAGGAGGAGGGAACCCCGGCGGTCCCCACAGACCAGGAGCCTTTCCTGGGGCAAGAAGGTGGCACAGGTGTGCCAGCGCTGCTTGCAGGGGGGCAGCAGGTACCGACCCATGAGCCGCACCCACGGTGCCTGCCCGGGGCGGTGGGTGACGTCCAGCCAGAGCATCTCCCCGTCGGGACCGGAGGCCAGAAGAGCAGCAGCGGTATCGGGGGGCAGCCCGGGACAGGGGGCCCAACTCAGCCCGTGCACGGCCCCCTCGAACAGCGTGAGCTTGGCGGCGGCCCCGGGGCGGCTCAAGGCGAACAGGAGGAGGCGCCCGTCGCCGCCGGCCACGGCGCAGAGCGTCTCGTCCCATCCGCGCAGCGGGGCGGCCGCCAGCACGGCGCGGGGCCCGGTGGCGGCGGGGTGCAGCACCGGCGTCCAGCGTCCCTGAGCCACCTCGACCGTCCTCGCCGGCGCTGACCGGGAGCGGCCCCCGCAGCACCACGGCGGCCACTCGCGCCCCGTGCCCGTAGCACACCAGCAGGCAGGCGCCGGCCCCGGCCCCGCCGCCCAGCTCGCCCACGGCCCACAGCCGCACGCTGCGGTCTTCGGAGGCGGAGGCGAGCAGCCCCCGCGACGCCGAGTAGCAGAGCGCCAGCACCGCGCCCCGGTGCCCGCACAGCTGACGCTGCGGGGCCGCCGCCGCCGCCGCCCGCCACACCACCACGTTCCGCAGCACGCTCCGCCGGCCCGCCGCCGCCGCCGGCCCGCCGCCGCTCAGCCGAAACGCCACCACCTCCGGGCCTGTACCTGCGGGACACCGCGTCAGCCGCCGCCGCCGCCGGCCCCGCCGCCCGGCCCGTCCCGGTGCCAGCGCTCACCCGCCAGCAGCACATCCCCCGCGAACTCCAGCGCTGTCACCGGCGCCACCAGCGCCACCGACTCCATCTTAGCCGCACCAGCCCCGCCACCGCCCCCCCAGCGCTCATTGGCCGAGTCCCACGTGCCACCGGCGCGGCCCTCGCCCATTGGCCGGCCCCGCGCCCCGCCCCGAGCACGCGGAGGCGGCGCGGTGTCCGCACGCTTTATTGGCGGCGCTACAGCTCCAGGTGCGCGCCGCCCGCCGCCCTGCCCGGCGCCCAGCCGCCCGGCGCCCCGCGCCCCGCCTCCGAGCCCCCGAAGCGCTCCATCTCCTGCTGGAACTGCTGCTGCCGCCGGCGGTTGGGGTCCACGTTGATCCAGTTGTTGGCGATCCACTTGGTGCCTTGGGTGACCAGGCAGCCCCCGTGCAGAGCGAAGTCGTCCAGCTCCCCCACCCAGCCTGCGGAGCACAGCCCCATTAGACGGTGGCACAGCTGGGACCACACACAGACACACGGCCAGTGAACACCAATGTCATCTCTCCTGCCTGCAGTACCTGCCTGGATTTGAGCTCAGATACATCTTCCAGCAGTTACTGTTCCTTGCACCCCTCCACCTTAGTGCCATCTCACCCTAGCGCCACAAGGAGTTCATCAGGGCAGGCTCCCTGAGTGCAAAATGCCCACTGCCGCCATCTCTCCACTCAGCACAAGTGGCTCTCACAATCCAGATCACAGCCTGCTTTTCTCAGCTCTCCTGGAAAAAGGAAGGCTGGCATAGAAGAGATGGGTACTGCCACTAGAAGGCTGAGGAAGCCAGAGGCTCACAGCCATTTTAGAAATTGCATTTCAGCAGTTCTAAATGACCTTTCTACAATGATCCTATCATTTTTCTGTGGCAGACTTGCATCAGCAGCCACTTTCCATTTAGGAACAAATTGCTCATAAAAACACAACAGGGCTCTTCCAGTAGGAGAGTGACGATTCTTGCTATTATCACCCAACAGCCCAAACACTGGTCTTGTGACCTGCTCTGAGGACTTTCTAGAGATGGAAACATGGGCTGCTCTCAGGGGACCTGGAACGCTACCCTCCTTCCTCCAACCAAAGCTCAAAATCTGCCATGGAAACCCTCTGGAGCCATACTCACCAGCAGCCTTAAAGATTCATGTTCATTCCCAGCCTGTCAGGGAAAACCGCGCTGCGCTGCGTGACAAAAACAGCCCCAAGGACCCACCATGGGGCTGAGCTACAAAGCAGGCACTGGCCCCAAGCGTGGCATGGGGTGGCCCATGTGTCCTCATGCTGCAGAGCTGATGGCCCTGCCTTTGTCTACCTCCCCTCCCCATCCCTTTGGGCAACACCACATCAGTGACACATTTTGAATTGCAGACCAAGTTCCAGCAGGAGTTTCAGCTTGCACAGTGGGATGGAAGGCAGCTGGTGATGGTGAGTGCAGCCAAGGTCTTTGTTTGCTAGCTAGTCCTGTCCCCCAAAGACATCAGGAGCCACTGACCTACTGCCTGTAAACAAAGGCCTTTCAGAGTCAGGAAGCTCCTACTCAGCTGTTGACAAAAAGACTCTACAGTTCCCACTGGCAGGCAGCTACCACCCTTCTTCTGGCTGTTCTTTGAGCTCCCAGCTGCAGCAAGGAGATGATGGCTGTAACCTACTGCAGTCCCACCCCTCCCAAGAGCCCAGTTCTGGAGTGAGCCTGTACCTTCTCCATCTGACAGGTAGTTGTACCAGAAGACAGCAGTGCCTTGCTGAGGTTTCACTCGCAAATTGCCCTTGTCACAGTTTTTCCGAGTATCTCGCAGGTCAATGTCATTCTGGATCAAAGACTGGACAGAAACCACAGGGAAGATGTCACAAACAGGGCTGGGACAAGGCACTGGGTTGCCCCTGCCCCTCACCCCTGCCTGAGTGTTCCACAGATTGGCTTAAGGTTGATGCAGGAGCTTTCATAACCCGCTGGAGCAGCCAGTTTCAGGCTCCAGGAAGTTCATAACCTCTTTCTGAGCAGCTGCCATTTCTTAACACTTTGTCTGACACCTCACACCTCTGAGCAGGGGGAGCTGAGCTGTCAAAGCTCTGTGCCTCTTCTGCCTCTTCCCCTGTCCTCAGAGGGAAAAGACTATAAATGGAGCACAGTTTCCCCAGTGCTCTAGCTGCAAATGCTAATGCACACCAACCTAACACACCAGACCCCTTCTGCAGTCACAATGAATTCCAAGAGGGACTCAGAATCCCCAGGGGTAACCCACAGGCAAGTTTCATTTACCATCTCTTCGTACGTCCTATTGTCGGCGATAGGAAAGACCGTTTCACCTCCCCCAGTCACGTTGTTCAGGTAGAACAGCACAGTCACATACCTGCAAGACAGAGACTGTCATGAGACACACCTGGAGCAGGAGGAGATGCACAGGAGCTCTCCATACCCTGCTGCTCCACCATAAATACAGTGGCTCCTCCAAGACATCACACGGCACGTGATTTACACCATCAGCTTTTCTCCAAGAGTAACACAAGGACAACAAAGAAAACCCCTACCCAGAGTAATGAGTGAGCTCGTAGGCTCTGCTGGGGCAGGCCCACCCACTCCACCTTCCTTGAGTGGGATTTGCCCATCTGCCCTTTGAAACCCCTTCATGCCTGTGATGTCCTGAGCTGTTTGTGAGCCCACAACCCGAGCACTGAGTCCCAGGTGAGATGAAGTGAGGCGAAATGGCCCTTCACACCCCTTGTATAAGGTGCCCAGGGCAGAGCTTACCGGCAGGAGGTCTCAAAGGGAGCGCTCTCATTGGCAACGAGCTTTGTGTGGCTGCAGGCAGTCTCGGGGAACACGGGGCCGCTGTCCATGTGGGCGTGGTAGTGCCCTCCCTGGTCGTACCGCACAACCTGGAGGGGCTCGCTGTGCTCCACGATCTCGGGGGGCAAGCGAGTGAGGCGCATCACCCTGGGGAAGAGCAGAGCAGGTGAGTGGAAAGCCACCCTCACCCCAGCCAGCCACTACTCCCAAGCAGTGAAAAAACCCAGAGAAAGAGAGCCCCCTTCCCCAAAAGACCGGAGAGACGGATGGGCTGCAGCGAGCATGCCAAGAGACAACCAGGTCCTTACTCATCTGTTGCACCACAGCATCGGCTCAGAAAACCCTCATCAAGGTTAATAAAAAACCAAAACAAAACTGAAGGAAGCATCTCTAGCAGGACTGCTCTCAGGAAGACTTTGCTTGCTCAGCAAGATCCCTTCTGTGCATGTCCCTGGAGCCTTCATGTGCCATCTCATCACTTCTCTGGACTCCTGCACATCACCTACAGACCTCAGGGACAGTTAGCAAAGCACAGGACCCCTGCTGAGAGTGAACGAGAGACTAGCTCTAGGAACAGTCTTGTCACCTAACTCACCTTTCCCTGTTGCCTTTTCAGCAGCCTCCCCCAGGGCAGAGGGGCACTGGAAGTGATCAAGGAGACCGGAGCCCTCCTGCTCTGGGATTTTTCCACTGCTACATCTGAGATCATCCCCAAGGCAAGCAGGTACGTCTTGAGACCTGCCAAAGAACACTCAGAGCTCTGAGAATCCGGACTGGTGAAGCCCTTGGGGCAGGTGCAAGGACAATGTGGCACCTGGGCAGGATGGCAAAGCCCCTGCAGGCGCTACCTGGTCCAAGGGAGGACTGACAGCCTCCTTCAGTGCTGTGTCTTCACATCCTCCTGACAGTGGCCAGCTGCAGAGCGTGCAAGTGGAATGCTGATGCCTGCGTGTGCTGGCTGGCTGGCACAGAGAAGGTGACAGCCACAGTCTGCTCTAATCAAGGCAATATGTGACCCCATTTTCCCACTGGAATGCACTGAAGAAAAGGAGTGGCCAACAGCTGTTTTTCAGGCCTCAGGACAGAATTTACCCACCCACGTTCTGGGTGAGGACCAGCACCACAAGAACATGTGAGTCTCCAGCCAATTATCTGAAACTCACTACAACTACATGATTTGGCCTTCATGCTGGGCTTCAGCTCTTCCCAGTACCAAATCTGAGATGAAGGGAAAGGTAAGAGGTTCTCCCATCTGCCATGAGCTGCCCCACAATATGTTTGCTTGGAGGATTAAACTAACTTGACTAATTTAAGGTGAAGTCGTGCTTTTTAAAAAGTCAGCTCTGCACAGCAAAGACAAATTTCAGTGAAATGCATGAGTAACTAAAGCAAATGACAGTAACTGCTGGCACCCAGACAGCATTGGAAACGGGCAGTTTCTCCCAGTAAGCTCAGTTACTAATTAGAATGAATGATTTCATATACTGCCAAATCTTCCTGGTTTTATAGGGCTGTTCCCAAAAGTGAATGGAGATGCTGAAAGGCTCGATTTTTCTTTTTCCCTTTCCACAGGACAATGCAAATTCTTCTTCTAATGAAAACCTCCTCTCTCCATTTTGTGTCTGTGTTCAATGCTCTTTATACTCCAAGGACTTTGCACACAATTAGGAAGTGTGAATATTAGCAAGTCTGCCACTGCCTCTCCCAGCACATAGGTGATGCTTGTGCCTACCCAAAGCCAGCCTCCCCTCAGCTCCCTGGCCCTTACCTTTGCCGAATGGCTCTCATGACCTGGTGTGCCCCCTCGCCCTGGTACAGCCAGGTGTGCTGGCTGTTGCGCACCAAGTCACTCATCTTCACTTTCTGGCTGCCCATGTACTTGTGGAAATCACGGATATTCAACTGCTTGAACTCCTCCAAACTTAGCACACCTGTGGGAACACAGGAAAAGCCACCTGACTCTGGTGCAGGTAATAGTTCTTGCATCCTGTCCTTGGAGAAACACCAGCTGAGGGCACTGCAGAAACTGGCTTCCTCACACAGAGCCCAGTCAGGGCCCACTGTGTCCACCACAGCTGCACCCCTTCTGCCCATGATCAGGGGCTCCAGCAAAGCTCTCGCCTGAGCAGAGGACACAGAGCAACCTGCCAAAGTGAACTGTGCACGGTCACAACTGGGACAGGCAAACACCATTTTAAATTTTAAAAAGCTCATGAAACACACAAATCCATATATCAAAAGAGAGAGACACTACAATGTCTGTATGCACAAGAAAGTCTGTGCTATCCAATGTCTTGAGGCTTATTATTTAGATATTTAAATCAATATGTTTAAGGGACAGAGTGGGACCTCAGACCACATTTTCTATATGACCTTGCAGGGTAATTAAGAAAAAGCCAAACCCAAAACAAGCAGTACATTCTCCTGCATTTGTATAACTGCAAAACATAAATGAGGAATACATGACAGTATGGTCTTGCGTAAATAGAACTAACAGAAAAGCAAGAGGTACAAAGCAGTTTCTCCTAAAACAGGTATTTCTTGTTTGCATTCAACTGGAATCAGCAAGAGGTGGACTCTTGCCTTTGTCAGCTTCAGGAAAATCCTCACATTTGTTGTTTCCTTTTTCTGGAGAGGGGAAGCCTTGCACAGGTCCCTGATAGCAGCATGCACTGCACTGCCCTGAGCTGCCCTGCACACACCAAGGGCTGGGAGAGGAACTCACTCAGGCAGCAAACCCAGGGTGCCAGCTCTGCTCCCTGGGCACGAGCATCCCCTGGCAGGAGGAAGGACCAGCCACAAGGGTCAGCCAGGGACAGTTCCTCAGGTGCACGTCCTCAGGTCATGACCAAATGATCCACTGTTATTATTCCTAGTGTCTCTCTGTCTGCACTTCCCCTTACTCCCCCCAGTCTTTGATGACGCAGTGCCACATCCAGGTTGTGACCTGGTCTCTCAGTGTCATGTACCAATCTAACAACAGAGGGAAGCAGCACTCTGGAAGCAAGGTCCTGCCAATAGCCCTTTAACAGGACCTTTCATTTGTTAATATCCACAATGGTGGAAAAGCCACTGAGGACTCAGTCATACCCCTGCCAAGAATGCCACCAGCCTGGAGGAGAGTTGCACAGGGTGCCCTCCGGATATTTATGCTTTCACACTGCTACTGCTTCAACTCCAAAGCAGCTCCTCCTGGGCAGCTCTCAATGCCAGGTCACTGGAAGAGACTGTGCATTCACTTAATTTGATTAGGAAATGGAGTGTTGCTTAATTGAGGCCACTCTAATTAGAGCAGCAGAGGTTAGAGTGTATGTCCGGAGCAGCAGGAGCCCTTGGGAGAGCGGGGGCAGGAGGGGCAGAAGTGGCCTCATGGAATACAGAGAGGTTGCAGTGGCAGAGAGGGGGGTCAGCACCAAAGGCTGACAGACAAGATCACCCCCTCCTCCGCTTATTCCACTCTCCCCTCACAGTGACATGGGCCTCCTGGCCTGCTGCAAAAGCCTCCCTGAAAACAGGGGGGCACGCAATGTGTGTCTGAACACCTGCATCCCAGGTAACAAGAGCTCTGTAGTCAGAACCTGAGCGGTCTCATGAAGCAAGGCAGGTCTGACAGGGGAAAGGGAGTGCAGAGCTGTGTCTGGTCCTGCTCCAGCAAGATCCAAGCCCAGGCAGTGGGACCAGTCAGCTGCTGGAGTGGTGATGCAGGAGCAGGAGTGCTGCATAAGAGGGTTACCCTGCATGCACCTCCCTGAGGAGGTGTCTAGGGCAGTGCTACTTCCTTCAAAGAATTCAGCCAGAGAAAAAAGTCCTTGGCAGGGACATAGCTCTTGCTCTCCCCACCATGGCTGTGCAAGGTGTCCAAAGTGCTGAGGGTGAAGGGATTCCCATGGAGCTGCTCTTACCATTCCCATCAGGATCAGCTTTGACCGCTGTGTACATCTCCCGGATGTTCTCAGGGGTCATCCACCTGCCGTTTCCAAGTCGGGTATGGGTCAACACCTGAAATTCATAAATACATCAAAAAAAGCACTGCTTTTTTGCACTCCTGAGACCCTAGAGATTCCCTGCATGAGGCCTGGCAGGATCTCCTCCACAGCACATCAGCCACACAGGCGTCAGCACATTTCTGAGAAAGACAATTGCAGTGAGAATCATCTGGCAGCCACACACAGCGTGTCGCTGATGACTGCTGTTATTTCTAGTTTAGGTCATGGCAATGACTGCTGGGACTTGGTTAACCAGCCCTGACGTGGAAAGAGCACAGCTTCTTCTTGAAGGGAAAGTAAAGCTATTGATGATAATATTGATATTGATGAGTGAATGCTTTTACTTGTCCATGGTAAGGGCTTGAAACAAAATTCTTCCCTTCAACATGTACAGAGAGATGCAGAAGCCTGAACAGCTCTCAGCAGGCTCTGACCTTCAGAGAAATGAGCCTTGCCCTGGGCTGTCACTGGCACAGCTCCCCATACTCCACAGCACTCACGGTGCACAGGATGGTTCAGACTCCCAGCTTCACCTGGACTGGGAGCCTGAGGAGGGACATGCTTGAACTGCCAGTACCTGCCATACAGGGCAAGGGTACTGAAGAGCTCTGGACAAGAGGCTTATTATCTCCCTCAGCTCATCAACAGGGGTGGCTTTGCTGGGGCTTGTGAATTCACACAGTGAGTTCCCCACAAGCTGCACAAAGCAGGGCCTACGTGACAAACTCACTTCCCAGGACACACAGCAAGAGGCAACAACCCACAGCACAGGAACATTTTATCCAGCATATTCAAAGCACACGTTCTGCCAAGGACTGTTGCTGCCTCCCAATAGCATGACAACTGCTGCACATTGCCCAGGAACTTCCATTCTCAAGGCCAGCACAAATTCTGAGGCATAAAATTAAGCAAATTGTGATTGGTATATCCTGGGGTCTGGCCCCACCCAAGCACATGAGTAACCAAGGGGGCATCTGATGAGGGGATGTGCCAGAGGGTCTCCAGCAAACCTTCCCCAGTCTGTCCCACACTCTACCTCTTTGAGCTGCAGCTGCCCATCCTGATTGTGGTCCAGCAGATTGAAAATGTCCATCTGGCTGATTTCAATCATTTCCATGGCTTCCTCATAGTCCTCTGTTGGTAGGATCTGGCTCTTCTGTAGTCCCTTTAGCTTTGCCAGATGGACAATGAGCTTACACTCCTCCTCTGTCAAGAAGTCAGGGATTTCTGCAGCAAAAGTGTGAGCAGGAACAGAGATTGAGGAACTGTTACACTGGGATCCCATGCTGGTAGCAGGAGTCTCAGGAAAAAATAATCAAAATAGGTAGGGAGAAAATTTAGGAACTAAGTTTGGGACATTCAGAAACATCCACCCTTCTACCAGAAGGGCTCTCAAATAGCATACACCACACACCTGAGCTGCTGGAGGCAGGTATTTTTATAGCAGCAGTTCCTGAATGTTTGGATCCTGGGGTCAAGCCCTGAAACTCTCTCACAGATACCACAATGGACAAAGGAGTGAACAAACACGTGCATATCACTGCATATTACCATTTCAAAGGTGCCATGTGGATCACAGTCTGGGAACTGCTGCTTTACCGGAAGGGAGGCCAAAAATCATTACAGTGGGCAGTGGTGATGGCCAGGGTTTCAGACTTCCTTGCTCTCATGTGGAGAGGATGGCACTTTGCAGAAAACCAAATCCCTTTCAGGAGAGCATGACACAGTGCTCTATTATGAAACTCAAACAGAAAGGGGGAAAATTCTAACTTACTCCCACTCGTTCCCTTGATTCCCCCACTAAAAATGGGTCTTCAAATGCAATATTAACGAGGAAAATACTGGACATGGATGATGCCAGGCTTCATACCCAGGTATCTCCAGCTTTCCTTTGCAGCACAAACCTAGCAGCAATCAGGCAATTCCACAATCTCAAGCAAATTAAAGTACAGAGAAATCCAGCAATGATCACGAGGCTAGGAGACTTCTACAAGGTACACTGGGCACGCACTTGGACAGCACTGGCAGGGTCCTATTCCAGAGCACAGTTACACTGTGGCCCAGGAGGTTCAGAGGATCCTCCTGGCTGGTGTCCATAGCTCTGGTGACCTTCTTACCAGCTGCTGAGACTTTAGAAAAACCACTCATGCAGGACAGGTTAAGTGCTCCTAGACCCAAGGTCCTGCTCTCCAAATTGCAGCTCCCTAGAGCTCCTGCAGGTATCTGCCAAGGACATGTTATAGATCAGCTACAGCAGCAATCCTCAAATGGAGGGAAAAAATTAATTACTTTCATGACCTGAAATCAACCCTATCGGCTCAAGCTGTCAATAAGCAGCTGGCTTCCTGCTAAGCACAGACCAGAACCAGCCCTGCAGAAATTGAGCTGTTCCTGGGAAGCCCCAGGAACACAATGCAGCCAGCTGAATCCATAACACGCTCCAAGGAAACAATTTCTGCCACAGGCAGCACAGGGTCCTTGTGCCAGAGGATGCTCCAGAGCTGGAGCTTCTACTGACCAGTCTGAACCTCGTGGCACTGCACCAGCTCTGAATGAACCACGTGCACGGGCAACCAACACCCCCAGTATGTCCAGTTCCCCAAACTGGGCTACAATAAAGATGGCTTATGGAACCTTCACTACGTGCTGGAGGAAGGACAATCCCATTCTTCAGCGGTAGTAAGGGGATTTCAGAATGAAGCAGGAATTCTGTTAACTGGAAAGTGTGTGGTCATGCAGGTTGCAAGGTGAGGGGGCTTCCAGCTGAGTGCTGCCAATCCTGTCTGCAAACAACTTGGATCCACAGCTGCAAATTAGTTCCTCTGTGCCCCCAGCTCTCCCAAACAGTTAACTTGTGGCTGTGAGACCGTCCTATCTCCCCGCCTGCTCAACAATAGATCCAGCTAAACAAATGCCTCCTAATTGACTTTAAGCAACACTTGATTGCTTTTACAAAAAACAAAAGAGAGGAAAACATTACGGTTTATGAAATAATGACTAATCCTGGAGCAAGAGAAAGGGGATGGGTTGGAGCACTGGTGTCAAACAGAGATTCAATCTTGGCTGAAAGAGCCTCAAGACACATGGGCCAAGTCATTCACCCCTCCCCAACTGCCCTCATTTCCACACCTGCTGATCTAAGCCAAACCCCTGCTAAAATACAAACAATCAGGGCCTCTGGCAAATGAAAATTGGAGCATTGTCTTCCCCATGAGGGCTCTGAAAGGGCCGCACTTAATGAGGATGGATTGACAAAGAGGTGGCTCGTAGGCTATAAAAGGCATTCCACAGTCAGGAGCAGCTCAGTCCGGGGTGTGCTGCTGGTTCACTTGCTCCAAGCATGGTCAGGTCCCTTCACAGGCACCCCTGGAGGTTGGGTGGCCCGTGGCTACTGGGTCTCCTGGCACGGCTGCTGCTCTGGGGCTCTCCAGGCGCCTGGGCGAGCTACCTGAGGAGATCCTCCAGCTGCATGCCCATCCCACAGCACATGGCCCTGTGCTACGACATCGGCTACTCCGACATGAGGATCCCCAACCTGCTGGAGCATGAGACCATGACAGAAGTCATCCAGCAGTCTTCCAGCTGGCTGCCCTTGCTAGCCAGGGAGTGCCACCCAGACGCCAGGATTTTCCTCTGCTCCCTCTTTGCACCGATCTGTTTGGACAGGTAAGATGCTTTTATGAGTTATTTCAGCTGTAACAGTGAACTCCCCCCAGGAGCACTGCTCCGTGTGTCTCCTGAGAGAAACTGCATTGATGTGATCCGGGCAGTCCCCAAGAAGCAGTGCTGCTGCTCTCGGCAAGGGACAATTGGATTCCTCAGCAGGGAACATCCCTCTGAAAGCAAAACATGAGCATTTCACATCACAGGAGCAGAAATATGTTCCCTCCTTGGGGTTCTTCTGCTCTCTCACCCCAGGCACTGCTGCCACATGCCCCTCAAGCACTGCAGTAGCTGCTGGCACGCACCAGCTTCACCCCCCACCTCCTGTGCAGCCCCTCACCCCAGCTCCTGCCCCAAACCCATGTTTTCTCAGTTTCCCAACAGTTTGAGCAGCAGAAAGAAATGTCCAGTTTTGAGGAGCAGTTCTCAAAGTACAGAGCTGCTAAGGAAATGTGGTGTGTAATCAGGCAGCTGTAAAGGTAAGCAGTCTTTGCACAGCTAGACAAGATCCCCAAGGTGAAGGGCTTCTGGCAGCTTGCCTCATCCCTCTGTCCCCAGAAATTCCTTGCTTGCTTCCTGGACATGAATGTTCCAAAAAAAGCTGAAGATCCCCAGACTGCCTGCTAAGCCTTCAGCACAGCCCTGTGCAGCAGCAGGGGGGCTGCTCAGTCCCCTGGCAGGCACTGAACACCCATCCCCTCCCCAGGCTCATCTACCCCTGCCGCAGCCTCTGCGAAGCCGTCAAGAGAAGCTGCGCGCCCGTCATGGCTTGTTACGGCTACCCCTGGCCCGAAATCCTCAACTGCAACAAGTTCCCTGCAGATCACGAACTGTGCATTGCAGCAGTCTCCGTGGATGAGAATTCCTCAAGCAGGAGAAGTAAGAGGTTTTTCTTAATGTGTTTTCTCATATGTAAAACTGAAAGCTCAAAAGGATGATCCTATGACTTGCTTCTATTCTGCATATTTCTGGTTTTAAGCAGTATTTAAAAAAAAAATAGAAATTCTAGTTTTGTTCTCTCTGGGCACCGTGTATAGAAAATTAGCATAACATTGGCTGTGGCTTGTTCCTCTCTCTGCTGTATTCATTAGCTCCCTGGGTGCCATCAGACCCCGCAGGGTTTGGGGCAGGGGGGAGGAAAGGCTGCAAAGCCTCCGGCCCTGGCACAGTGGGAGAGCTCATGGAGTGCAGACTCCCAGCAGCGAGATGTGCTTCCAGGGCAGCTGTGGAGCTGCAGCCCCGATCTTTCAGCTGTGTCTAGGGCTTAAAAGCATGCAAAAAGAAATGTTTTGCAAGCCTTCTCTCTCAACATTAGAAACACCATGAAGGGACATGAGCCTCTGCAGACATGAGTTACACTGGAAAAAAGTCTGTCTGAAGGACTCAATTAACACCCAGATCCTGATGAACATTGGGGGAGATTCAAGAGCAGTTAAGGGGAGAACAAATATTTCAACATCATTTCAGCTTCACTGGATGGAGACTGGCCATACCACTGGTTTTGCTGTTTCATCCAAATTAGGAGATCTTCATCAAGCATTTTCACTGCTGCTTTAACATGCAGCAACACACACAAGCCTGAACAAAGCACTGACAAGCAGCGTCTGCCCCTTCACAGGAAGGAGAGTCTAACATTTCCCACCTTGCCTGTCTGAGGTACCTCTCCAGGGCCTGGGTAGATCAGGAAGAAGAATCACTAAGAAACAGCAAGCCACCAACTGCAGATCTCAAAATTTCATTGTGCCTTTTCCAGTGAAGCTTGACAAGGGTGTTATAACCTAATTTCTGTTGCAGCAGTGCCCCGAGCCAGCTGCAAGGACTGTGAGCTTGAGGAGGCCAGCACTGCCAGGGAGATCCTGGAAAGCCTCTGTGCAAATGATTTTGGTGAGTACACTCCTTTTCCTCTCAACTGCCACAATTCCCTCCAGCAGCCAAGCAGTGGCATGGATAGAAAATAGCTTTGCCATAAATACTGACTTGGAGAAACTGTAACTTCTACAGCAGATCCCAGGGATTTTCAGTTTCCACCTTATCTGTGAGGTAGCAGGAGGACCCAGCTCCTGGCAGCACTGAAAGTGAAGACCTGATTCATTTCCGTGGGCTCTGATTTGGTTTTGGTCTGTGAGTGCTAAAAACAGGCAGTACTCTGGTTTTCCCTTGCAGACAAACATTTCAATCAATGCCTATAAGAATCTTTAGCAAATTCCATGCCAGCTGTTTCAAACTTTAATAGAGTTGCTCTAGTATTGTGACTCTCCCTCTCCTAGCCCAAGCAAGCAGTAGCTCTGGTGCTGCTCAATCAGATGGCAGGAAGTTTTCAAGATACTGTCCTGAATTCAGGTACACATATAGGAAAACAAAGATATTTTTTAATAAAAAAGTTACAAATCCTGAGCAGCTTTAAGTCATGTCACTTCCTGAAATTCCTGCTCAGAGAAAAGTCAAGTAATTTGCACAAGACTAGGACTTTGATGCATCTGCTTGGTTGTGCCCATGATTCCTCCAGGGTTTCTGCAGTGGTACTGATACATCTTTGCCACTCTTAGAAGGGAAATGTATTGAGAAGGAGAAGGAGGCCTTTTCTCCCACTTAACAAGAACAAGAGGAAATGGCTTCAAGTTCCAATGGTGAGGTTCAGATTGGGTAATAGGAAAAATTTCTTCACCAAAAGAATTACCAAGCACTGGAACAGGCTGCCCAGGGAAGGGCTTGAGTCACCACCCCTGAAGGTATTTCAAAGACATGTGGTTGTGGCACTTGAGGACATGGTTTAGTGGTGAACTGGGCAGTGCTGGGGCAGTGGTTGAACTTGATCTTTGAGGTATGTTCCAACCTAAATAATTCTGTGATTCTAAGAACAGTGTTCAGTACTGGAGACTAACCTCAAATGAGAACTTCTACAAGTTCACTGCAGTTGCAAAAGCTTGGACAGATACCTCCCCACATTACAGGGACAGCAGAGAAGCCTTGGGCTGGCTCTTTGTCTTGAGGTGGGAGAGAGCTATGAAGAGTAAAAAGAACTCACAGCTCTTTTTCCAACTCCTGCAGCAGTGAAAATCCGAATCCTGAGGAGGAACACCACCACCACCATCTCGGACTTCGACCTGGACCCCTCCAAAGTGGAGGTGCTGAAGCACGGCCCGCTGCTCAGAACTGAAATCCCTGCCAGGCTCCAGCAGTGGCTGGACATAGATGCCACCTGCGCCCACAACATCATGAGAGGCACTCAGGCAGGGGTCTTCGTTGTAAGTGGAGAAGTACAGAGTGACAAAGTGGTGGTGAACAAGGCCTATGCCTGGCAGAAGAGGAACAGGAACCTGCACCAGGCAGTGAGGAGGTGGAAACATCACCGCTGCCCTGAACAGGCAGGATGGAAGGTCTGAAAAATCCCAACTCCAGCAATAAGAAACTGCTCCCTTCCCTATGGCTAGAAAACTCCTTTCCCTGGCAGGTGGTGTTTTGGAGATGTACAGTGATATTTCTAGGTGATTTGAAGCAGTCGTAGTGCACAGATAGGGCTTCACTACAGATCCCTGTTTTACCAAGACGGAGCTTAAGGATGCAGGTTTAACATGTTCCTCTCACAATGCTCTGTAGATCCAGGACATGCTATGTTCAGCTTTGCGTAGGATCCAACATCACAACAAAACTATGCAGGTGAGGACAAACTAGAAGAAACCTTTAATAACAGTTCCTTCTAGTTCTCATTATCAGAGCTGGTATTTCAGATTCATTATTTGACCCTGAGACATTGATGCTGTCCAAGTGCCTGCTTACTTTCTGTTCACAGATTACATGAAAGCCTCCCTGACTGTGAAGTGATACTTTTTATTTAATGGAGCAAATATTTTACTCTTGAACAGTCTGAGGTGAATTAACAGAGAGAGGAACTTGCCCTTGCTATGCCCAGCCCCTTAAAAACTGCATGCTGAACTCTGCTCTTGAGTCAGGCTGTCCCTTCAGCTTCCTGCACTGAGAGCTGATCAGCATCCACCCATGCAAAAGGAAACAGCCATTCTCAAGCAGGAAAGGCACAGAGCAGATAGCTGAGGGTTTCTACACAACAGGGAAAAAACTGTTTTTCAACATCAGAAATTCAGTGTGGATCAGAAGATTCTGGTAACTGGGGATATCACAAGAACCTTGAGAAAAGCAGAGCATGAGTGAGACATCAGCTGTTAAAGCTCTGCTTTGGTGTGAACAGCAGCTTTGCTCAGGACTGGGAGGTGAGTCCCAGCCCCAGCACAGTAGGATATTGCAGTTTCGATGTGGGAGCAGGGGAGAATCCTTCCACAGCTGCCTGGCCTTCCACCTCTGCATAAGGAAGATAGAAAATATGGGAAAACTCAGTCTCTCTGCAGCTCAGTATCCCAGTCAAGCAGGACTGTCACTCCCTGCAGGGGCACACACTGTGCTCCAGACCACAGAGCAGAAAATGGCAAATCCCCAAATGAGGAAACAAGTCGGATTTCTAGCGCCTAACAAAGCATTGTCCACGGAAAGATTTCTATATTGGCTGAAATAAAAAAAAAACAAAAAACAAAGAACAACAAAACAAACGGAAAAAGCAGCCTTTGGGAGGAATGCTTTCTGCCTTGCTGCTGGAGGCACACCGGGCTGCTGGGGACACACCGGGCTGCTGGGGACACGCTGCCTCCCCGTGTTCACAAGGCACACCAGCAGCCCAGGCTGCGGCTCCTCCTCACGCTGCTGTGGGCTGGAACGAGCGCTCAGACACACGCACCGCAATTCAGCTGCGCCTGACGTTTGTGCAGAGCTTATTTCGCTTCCCTGAGGCTCAGAAGAAAAACACAGACAAATTTCCTATTTTTATTCCTCTCCACTGTCTTGTCTTGGAAACTGCTGCCCAATCCACTGCATCTGCTGTCAGGTGGTCCCTGCAATGGCAGTATCTTCTGAACAGACTGCGTTTGGAAAACAAAACACATAAAAGCTCTGAAGGTTGAAAAGGCTTTGTCTGATATGTTTTCCATTAGTAGGGCTATTTGATTACTAGAGTTTCCCAACTGCAAACTGCACAGATGGTCTGATTTACAAGCTTTAGAAACGATGCCTTGTAGCCAGAGGGGGGAAGAATTGGAGCAGGGTTTTTTTCACAGCTCTGTAAAATACGCTTGAGTTCCATGCAGATGTGACTTACTCACAACTAAAAACCAAACCTAAAGTTCCCCAGCCCATGCTCTGAAGCCCAGAGAACACATTAAATCATTCATGAGTGTCTGCTGCTGTGGTGGCACTGCAGCCTGCTCTGCTGAAAGCAAAGATGACAGATCAGGCACTTTCCTGTTTCCTTAAATTGCACGCTGCAGCACTTCGTGTTAAATCCCCAGAAACTCTTTGCTAAAGGCTTCTGTATTCACCAAACACAACCAAGTTAAATACACACTTCCACTAATTTAAGTAACAGAGATGCAATGAATTAGTTTTTTTTAAACCAGTTGAATTAGATTGGTACTGCTTGCATACATAGAGAAGTCTCTGGAAGTCTTTTAAAGTCAGAGCTGGCTCCTGGCAGGTTCATCCAGGAGATAAGAACTGTCTTGCAACTTGCAGTTTCTAAATAAGGGACTCCTTATCAGAGGACAAAGGAGAACAGACTCATGGCATCTCAAATGGTGAATGTCTGTCACTGTCTGTGATGGCATCCTCAGGGAGCAAAGCTTCCCTCAAAACCAATGGAGGTGCTGGAACAAGAAGCTAAAAACTGCAGGATTACTGCTGCCAGGACAAACCTGCCTTTTATCATCTTAAACACCTTCCTTGGGGGCCAGGACCAACTGTTTCACTTCAGTGGTACTGGAAAGGCAGGGAAAGAGGAAACAGGAGTTTTCCTGAGTGAAAACCAGAGCAATTGCCTCTGACTGTGGTTCTGGTAATGCCACCAGTTTTGTGATGCTGTGGGGTTATCAGCTCCAAGTTGGTGTGTCTGTTTAGTGAATGGCAGGCAGAAATCTAATAAGAAATTCATGGTGAGGTTTTCAGTGTATATGATGTATTTGGAATGAGAAAAAAATCCCTCTATTTATATTATTGAGAAAGCATCTGAATGATTCTCTATGCTATCTTTTCAGAAACAACAGGTTTTCTCTGACTTTGCAATAGTAGGAATTTTGTAGTGATTGACTCCTCTCCCTCAAATTATTTAGCATATTGTCAGTGACTTTCCAGAACACAGAGTTCAATTAGTGAGACCTGACCAGCGACAGCAAAGCATCACAGAAAGGTAAAGAAGATTTAAAAATATCTGAAAGGCAGATGTTGTGTGGTTGTGTATCAGAGAAGCCAAAAATAGAGATAAATCTAGAACAGGACACAAAATGGTGGAAGAATTTAAACCTGTAAACTCTCCTGTTACTCATATCCTCAGTGCTGAAGCATCAACACGAAATTGTTGTTTCATAATTTATTAAAGTTTGTCCTTTCCTTGTATTGAGCATCTTCAAGGTTCTTGCCAGCGATCTGCTGTCTATTCCTAGTATTTTACAGAAGCCTGAAAAACCTGGAAAGGTTAATCTTCCAAATTCTTCAAAGTGGGCCATCCAGAACACAGAACCTCTGCGAATTCTGCACCAACATACCTTAAGCCACAGCACACTCTTTAAGGCAGGAGCAGCAGCACGGGGAGGTGATGCCAACACGCGGGGACTCGTTTTCCCCCGAGCGGGTGTAAGACAGCGGCGGTGTCAGACAGCCCGCACACAGCCCCGCGGCGCCGGCAGGGCGGAGCCCCGCGCTCCCGCGGCCCCGGCGGGGCCGGTACTCACCGAACAGCAGCGGCTTGAGGCTGAGGGTGCGCACAGCGTGGGCCCTGCCGGGCACCAGCTCCACCCGCTGCGTGTGGCCCACCTGCGGGGAGAGCAGCGGTCAGCGCCCAGCGGCAGCGGCCCCGGGCCCGGCCCCCGGTCGCGGCCTTGCCTTGATGCCCTCGAGGCGCGGGAGGGCGCGGGCGGGCGGCGGCGGCGGC